GAAAAAAAAAGAACAACAACAACCAAAAGCAAAAAGAAAAAAGAAAAAAAGACAAAGGAGGAAAAAGGAAGACTTAAACTAAAACTCAAAATAGCAATTTAAGTGAAGATGAAAACTTGAAAAAAATAATTTCATGTGAAGGTCCCTAAAAAAGGATAATGATCAGCTTAAAGATTGAAGATATTAATGGAATATGTTTTTCGAAAAATGATCCTGAGTTTGAGTTCAAAATTGTTTAAACAATTGTTATTTTGAGATGTTAATATCCTATTTGAATAATCACGATATTTTGTCTTTGAGTTGTTCTTGACCCTACTTTTTATTTTTTAATAATAAAGACCTATTTTCTTTGTCCTTCATTAAATGAACATTCCTTAAATAAACCAAGGGAATGCATCATGTCACTGATTTAAATGATGGCAAATAAATGAATGACATTTTTTATAAAGAGTTTTTCATTCTTTTGAAAGAATTTTAGGATGAGATAAATGAAAAGAAGCATGAGAAAATGATTTATAAGGGGGCTAACAAGGTAAGCCAAAGATGAATTCAATGATAAACACGACTTGTGAGTTGTCATCAGATGAGAAAAATGACATGGATCAGCTTACAAAATCTACTCTGAGATTATTAATACTGAGAAGCTAAGAAAAACTGATGGAGTCTTAAGAACTTTGCTACCATAATTAAAATTTTATGGCATTAGTAAATTGTATTTACATTTGCATCCTAGATATGACATACATTGCATAACTGCATCATCACTTATCACTCATTTTTTATCTCAACATAGGCCAGATCATTTTCAGACTTGCGACATCATCCCAATCATTCATCTTTGACCTTCACTCGATTTTAGTCATTTTATTTTTTTGACTACTTTAATTCTATTATGAAGCCTTTATGAAACTTAAAATCTTGTAAATCTTTTATTCTTGCAAACCTGAAAATTTTTACGAATCTAAAACTTTTACGAAACTTTGAATCTTACGAATCTTTCTTTTTTACAAACCTGAAAATCTTTGATAATCTTACATCTTTGCAAATCTAAAACCTCTACGAAACTTGAAGTTTTGTGAATCTTTCTTTCTTGCGAACCTAAATCCTTGCGAATCTTACATCTTTACGAATCTAAAACTTTTGTGAAACTTGAGATATTACGAATCTTTTTTTTTTATGAATGTGAAAATCCATGTGAATCTTGCATCTTTGCCAATCTAAAACTTTTGCGAAACTTAGGGTATTGTGAATCTTTCTTTTTGTGAACCTGAAAGTTCTTGCGAACCTTGCACCTTTACGATACTTGAAATCTTGCTAATATTTCTTTCTTACGAATCTAAAAGTTCTTACAAATCTGAGAATCCTTATAAATCTAAAATTTTTACGAAATTTAAGGTCTTGCGAATCTTTCTTTCTTGTGAACCTGAAAATCCTTGCGAATCTTACACCTTTGCAAACTTAAAATCTTACGAATCTTTCTTTCCCGTAAATCTAAAAGTCTTTATGAATTTAAAACCTTTACGAATCTAGAACCTTTGTAAAATTAGAAATTTTATGAATTTTTCTTTCTTGTGAATTTGAGAGTCATTGCAAATTTTTAAAAGTCCAAATTGTGAATCTTTGGATTTAAAGTGAAATATTTGAGCTTTATTTTTTTGACCTACGGTTCAATCCTGGTCACTTGATCTTAGCTCAGTCTAGATCATTTCTCATGGTTCATGGTTTCATCCTGGTCATTTTTTACTCGACTCAATCTTGGTTGCCTTATTTTTTGACTCGTGATTTTATCCCGATCACTTGATCTTGGCTCAATCCAAATCATTTCTCATAATTCATGATTTTGTCCCGATCATTTTTAACCTTGACTCGATCCTGGTCACTTTATTTTGACCCGTGGTTTCATCTCGGTCGCTTGATCTTGGCTCAGTTCAAATCATTTCTCATGATTCGTGATTTCATCCGATCATTTTTTATCTTGACTCAATCCTGATCGCTTCATTTTGACTCATGATTTCATCTCGATTACTTGATCTTGACTCAGTCTAGATCATTTCTCATGATTTGTAGTTTCGTCTCGATCATTTATTTTTTATCTCGACTCGGTCTTGATCGTTTTATCTTCTAGACTTATGATTTTACCTCGATCATCTGATCTTGGCTCAGTCCAGATCATTTTTTATAACTTATGGTTTCATCCTGATTATTTATCTTCGACCTCGACTCGATCATGATTACTTCATTTTTTGACTCGTAGTTTCGTATCGATCATTTTTGCTTGCTGATTTGACTCGAATAGAATAGGTATCTAGGTATTGCATCATCCCTGTCTAATAGAGATATGCAAAGAGAGGCAGCTGTAGGCACCCATATATGTCCGGGGTCAATAAGGTTATTTTTAGGGTTATTTTTATTATATTATTACAATATATTAACATAGTATTATTATTATTATTATTATTATTATTATTATTATTATATTGTACATAGTCTATTAGTATTATTATTATCAAAATTATTATCTTTCTTTCCTTTCTTTCTAACGGCTGATTGAATAACTGAAATTGGGAATTGAATTCGGTCAAAGGGTTAATTAGAGTTCAAATCAAGGAACTTTTCTAGAAATCAGCAAGGAACCTAAACCTAATTTGAGGTTTTGCCAGAATTTAACCCTAGGATTCAAGCCTGGGATTGATTCTGTCTGTTTCTTAAATTTGTTCTAAGGTTGCCTATAAATTACACTAACATCACAGAATAACACATAAGAGGAGTGGACTTTAGAGGAGACACAATTAATTTGGGTGAACCGGGTGTTCTGGGCAATACTAGTTTTCTAGGATTCTAAAATCGATTTGAGGTTTTTGGATGTGATTTGAAGATTTTGGGTTTAATTTTAGGTTGCTAGGGGTGACATTAGGTTTTGGAAGATTTTGGAGATGATCTAAAGAAAAATAGGAAAATTTTTGGGTTTTTTTTTCTAGAAAATTGGGTTTGAAGTTTGAATGTTTAAATTTTTTGATGAATTTTTCGGTGGGATATGAATTTTTCGATGAGTTTTTCGACGGAATATGAATTTTTTTATGGGATTTTTTTAGAAATCGACAAGGATTTCCAGTTTTCGGTGGGATCTTGGCTAGGTTTTAGAGAGAACGGAGAACATTTTGGGTTTTAGAGAGAGAGAGCATAAAGGCATCTGGGATAAAAACGCTAAAAGCTTGCTTTTATATTGCTCCAAAACGATCGTGTTTTGGTAGCCTAGGATCTGCGCTTTGACCCACTGACCCACGTGTCGACCCACGTGTTAACCTGACCCGATCGCAAAGTTTCGTTTTTCCATTTCTTTTTATTTTTGATTTTTATTTTATTTTATTTTTAATTCATTTTATTTTTTAGTTTTCTGGTTTTATTTTTGAGAAATTTATTATTGTGTAACAATTATTTTTGTTAAAAAAATTAAAAAAAAAACCTTTTTCAAATAAGTAAAAAAAAAAACAAATAATCTTTTCAAATAAAATTTCAAAATAATAATAAATTTTTTTTAAGTTTTCAAAAAATATTTATATAAAAAAAATCCTTTCAAAAAAAGAAAAAGAAAATTCTTTTTCAAACAAAAATTCTTATAAAATAAATTCATGAATTTCACCCAAACTATTGAAAAATTTTCATAGGTTTAAGTTTTTTGTAGAATCCACCAAACTATTAGGAAATTCCATAAAATCAATGTTTCATAAAAAAAAAAAAATTATCTTCTAAATTATTGGAAGATTGTTTCAAATTAAGTCCTACTAAACTATTAAAAAATTTTACTGAATAAAATACTTCAATAAGTCCGATGATGGAGTCTCTTCAGAATGTGACACTAATCTCTATAAATACTTATAAGATGAGAAAATTATTTTAAATTGTTACCAAACTATTAAGATAATTTTAAGATTAATTTTTAATATTAAATTATTTGATAAATCATAAAAAAATGATCAAAGCTTGGATAATTTAAAATTAAACTGGTACCATCATTTAGATGAACGTTATAGGAGTGTTACAATCTTTCTAATGCGTAATCGATTCTCGAATATAATATTTATTTTTGTAGATTAAAATATATTATAAATGATCAATCATATCTAAATAAAAAAATTAGTGACGACTCATCTAATTCATATTTAATTATAAGTCCACGAATCTATATGACAAGTGGTATTGTTGTTTACTCAAAAAAGAGATAAAGGAAGAAAAGTTCATAAATTGGATAACTTTAACCAATCTTACCTTTCTAGACCTTTTTGGCCATTGATCAACTAGTCTGAATTGGTCACATGTGCATTTTTCCCCCTTCTTTTTTATTTTTTTGTTTTTAATCTATATTACCAATATATTATTACTACCATCATAATGTTACTAGACGTATTGGAGTTTCAAATTTCTAGCATCCACCAGCTTGTTTATAACTGTTCAAAAAATATCAACCGGTTTCTAATTCCTTGCTAGCAAAATAAGAACTGTTAACCAAACGACTTGGAAATGTATTCGTATTTTCCTACATAGGGAAATTCTGCAAAGAAACATCGGAACCACTTTTTCCAGAGCGAAGAAAAAACGAGCTTCTTTGTCCTGCTTAAGACAAGATTAACACTGTCCAAATGTCCATTCTACTAGGCTTACGCTAACTTCCACTCGCCCAAACATCGTACAGATTGGGTTCTGAAACACTTGTCTGAACAATGGAGCGAGTATAAGTACTTGGAAGACTCGAGCAACAGAGAACAGTTTAGTTCACATGGGGACAGCTATTTGATGACGCTAAAATTGCAATGTGAACAGAATATACGGGCTAAAAATTCCACAAACGCAAGTTGGATTGGATAGACCACGAGTTCGCCACACGCCTGCTTACGTGTTTCAACCACGATCGTCCGACTAATGTCCTATCCGGCGGTCGAAAACGAAGCCCATCCACTCCGGAACTCTTGTAATTGTCCTCAACCAGTTCTATATATCCTCTGCAATCCACCCTCCATCAACTATCTTTCTTCATTTATTAGATTGATCCAAAAATCATAGTTCTTGTAGTCCCCTCAAAGATTAAAGCAATGTTTTTGAGCTCAGTTTCATCTTTTTCTGTCCAAACCAAGCAAGGGGATAATATAATCAGTTCCCTTAGGAGCTCCCCTCCATTTTCATCTTCTAGTTTGAATTCTGTTTTTCCTTCTTCCTCTGCTCTGAGTTTTCTAGTCAGAAAACATGCAAGGGCTTTTGGGGTTTCTGCATCCTTAGAAACCAACTATTTGGCACTTACAGGAGTAGTGTTTCAGCCTTTTGAAGAGGTCAAGAAGGTGGAACTTGATATTCCAGTCGCACCTCAGATTTCACTTGCTCGCCAGAAATATACAGATGACTGTGAAGCGGCAATCAATGAACAAATTAAGTGAGTGGCGTTTCTCGTTGTTCTTTCTATCCCTAATCTTTTAAGTTGTTAATCCTTCTTATTCTCTGATCTGTAGTCAACATTCCCATTTTTCCCTTCAGATTCAGTTCTTAATTTATTGGGGTTATTTTGTCACAGTGTGGAATACAACGTGTCCTATGTCTACCACTCTTTGTATGCTTACTTCGACAGAGACAACATTGCTCTCAAGGGCTTAGCCAAGTAAGAACACAGAAACAAGAACCTGCCCGAAGTTTTTTTTTTTTTTTTCATTTTTGTAACTGTATGACATAATGAATATTTGATCTTGTTGCAATCAGATTTTTCAAGGAATCTAGTGAAGAAGAAAGAGAACATGCCGAGAAGCTGATGGAATATCAGGTTTTCTGAAATGTCTATTTTCATTTTATTTTACCCGTTTTATACTGGACTAGGAATATCTGAACAATTATTGTTGAACTATATAATTAGAACATACGTGGAGGAAGAGTAAAACTACACTCAATTCTGATGCCCCTCTCAGAGTTTGAACATGCAGAGAAGGGAGATGCATTATATGGTGAGTCAGTGTCTTTTTTACATGCTTATTCTGGAAAAAAAATTATTTGCTTCGACTGCTTCCTTTTTTAACCACATCTGTAATTAGCTCTCAAAAGAATGCTAATGGCTTCATGCTTGACAATATTTTCTTTGGTATGTCCCATAATTTTGCTGATCTATACTAGATAGAGTTTGATCTATATAGAGTTTGTTTAATATTGTTTGTTTTGTTCAACTGGATCTATTAATTTTTGCTATGAATTTTTTGAGTTCAGCTATGGAATTAGCGTTGTCCTTGGAGAAGTTGACAAACGAGAAGCTTTTGAACCTGCACAATGTAATCTACTGAAATCCTGAAAACTAAGTCATAGGTGTTTATCAGGATGTTTAGTCTTCAACTAATCTACTGTTCCTAGTTCTCATGGATTTTGTACTTTCTTCTTGATGAACAACAGGTAGCGCAGCAAAACAATGACGCTCAGATGGCTGACTTCATTGAAAGCGAGTTTTTACCTGAACAGGTGGCTCAACTTTCATTCTTAGTATTAAAAAAAAAAAATCTTTCAAATAACCAAAAAGAACATTTTGAATGATGATTTAAATTCCATTCTATTTTTTGAATGGCACGGCATGTATTTTGGTGTCTTGTGCTAATCTTCCTCAAAATATCTGCTGCAAAATACTCATAAGATGGAAATTGATTTCGTAGTTCGTGTTTTCTTCATTTCTACTGTGTCTTCAAGACTTCAACAGGTAGCAACTTATTCTATTCAGTAAGGCACCATTCTAATGAAGTTGTGAATATATAAATTTTATAGGTTGAAGCCATTAAGAAGATGTCAGAATATGTTGCTCAATTAAGGATGGTTGGAAAAGGCCACGGTATGCATTGAAGGCTAGAATCAAATACTCAGTATCATCTTCTCTTTCAATTCATAAAATCATTGGACAAATGTTTCAATTACTTCTATATATCCTTCGTATTTCTCTCTAAGCACTAAGCGCAATTGCTTGGTCGGGCTTGCAGGAGTATGGCACTTTGATCAAAGGCTCCTCCACGACGGTGATGCTGCATAATGATGATCAAATGCTGTATCTTTTGTTGTTTTAGTACTTCAGAGATGTTCTACTATATGAGCCAGAATAAAATGTTGATATAGAATATATTGTACTCCTAGCAAGTAGTGACCCCTTAGGTTTGCCATGTTAGACAGAATCAAATAAGTTAATTTCTTTTTACCCACCCAAAATTAAGGGAGCTTTATTTCTATACCTGAATAGGTGGAGGAACAATGCTGACTGATGCATTTCCCAGTGGTTACGTCTTTGGCATTTGATTTAGAACCATTTCCAAGTGAGATTGTATAAATAAATAAATTACAAAGTATTTTCGAGTAGGTTGCTTTTGAAGCATAATATTTCTCTAAGCCTGCTGGCATTTTTAGATTGGTTTTGCATTTCCTTGAAATTTTTGAATCGCAAGAATTCCAATCTCTTTGCATTTTATAGAAGTGTGTTTTGTTAGGCCTGAAGTAATAAATATAACAACGTAAAAGTAATATATCACAATAAATTTACAGTAGTAGATAACAAAAAAAAATTAACAATATAAGAAAAATAAAACACATCAAGATTTACACGAAAAATCTTTCAGTTTAGAAGAAAAAAAAATCAGGGACCATAAAAAAAATCCACTATCAATCAATGGATATACAATATTCTTCTTTAGTTAAAATTAAAGTTAATCAATAACTAGAGAGATAATTTGATAAATTTTATCAAATAGGAGATTTAATAAATACACATTATATAACGCTTTCAATCATATATTGGAAGAATATGTGTATATGATATGATATATAATTTGAGATTTAAATTCAAACTTGTGAAGTGCATTTTGTGGGACAAAACCATGAGATTTATGGGTAAAAGCAGACAATACCTCGTAGGTTGAGTGCAGATCTCTACAAATAGTATCAGAGCGGTCACTAGTCGATGAGAACTAAGTGCTACATCGTGGGAATCACTAAGCATTACATGGTGGGTCGTGGGAGTCACTAAGTACTATATAATGGGTAGCCACCTCTAGAATCCTCACATCTGGTGTGATCTTAATCCTATAGTTGGACTCAGCTTGATAAGAATGTCAAGCTTTAAAGGTAGGGAGATTGTAACCCCTTCAATCCCACATTGAAAGAATGTGTGGATATGGTATGATATATAAGTTGAGACTTAAATCCACACTTGTCAGACACTTTTTGTGGGATAAAACTGTGAGACCTTTAGGTCAAAGCAGACAATACTTCGCAAGTTGAGTACGGGTCTCCACAAAAAAAAATCAAATTAGATCCAAACTAGACGATTTAGGTATATTTGTCGTCTAACCTTTACATCAAAATTTTTAGTCTCATCAAAAATTTTTTCAACTTATAAAATCACACTATATCAAAGTAATTACATTTTTTATTAACTATAAGATCTAAAAGCAATATGTAAATATCAACCAAAATAATTACATCAAGAATTCATTGAATCATTGATTCTTCAAAATTTGTTGAAACTTTAACTACTCCAAAATTCATCAAATCATTTGCTTATTCTCACCACTATAGTCTATGGATCAAAGTTATGTCCTTGGAAAATCATCACGTTATCTGGATATTATCATCTAAATTCTTAAAAATCTTTACATAATATGTAGATCATAACTATGCTCATAAAATATCTCTTTCAATCTAAAGATTATAAGCTATATTTTTTTAAAATCACTGTTAATCTAATTAACATAATTTAACCTTTTAAAAATCTCTAAAAATCATAATCTTGTAGTTCTTAGAAAATTTTAAAAATCATAATATAAGCTCTTTAACATCTCACATAGCTTAAAGATCAAAACTTGAACTCTAAACATAAAAAAAAAAATCCAAGAATCATAACTTAGGCTTTTAAAGAAAATCTCATCATAATCTAACTCTTAAAAAGTCTCCAAAAATCACAACTTAACTCTGATATCATTTATAGAGACTTGTATCCAACTTACGAGGTATTGTTCGCTTTGACTCGAAGATCTCATGGTTTTGTCATACAATAGACGCCTTACAAATTTGGATTTAAGTCTCAACTTATATATCATACAATATCCACACATTCTTCCAATGTGAGATTGGGAGCGTTATAATTTCTTCACCTTTCAAGCTTGAGATCCATGTCAAGTTGAGTTCAACCATAGGAACAAGATCACACTAGACGTTGAGATTCTAGAGGTGACTCCCCACTGTATAGCACTTAGTGACTCCTACGATATAGCACTTAATTTTTATCGACTGATAACCGCTCTAATGTCATTTGTAAAGACCCATATCCAACTTGAGAGATATTGTCTACTTTGAACCAAAGATTTCATGATTTTTTCCCACAAAACATACCTCACAAGTTTGGATTTAAGTTTTAACTTATATATCATACTATATCCATACATTCTTTCAATGTGAGATTAGGGGTATTACACTTTGGATTTGTTTCTAAAAAGTTTTAAACCCGATCTCCATCATTCAGAATGTAAACACTGAATCATAAACTTGTTGAAAAAATTTTAGTTCAATCGAACCATGGATTAACTTCAGTTCAACCAAGTCTTCCTTCTTTTTTTTTTGTTTATCTTTTTTGGCTTTTTTTTTCCTTTTTTTTTCTTAATTTTTAGTGCCACACATTTAAGCCAAAATTACCTCTTTTTTTCATTATTACGTAAGGCTCTCTTAGGGTGGCCTAAAACATAAAGTCCATGGCCTTTAATATGTAAAAACACATGAACATGGGAATAGACCCCACATTCTTAATAATCTCGCCCTCTAACCTCATTAGGAGAAGATTTGTCACCATTATAGTCTTATTTGAAACTTATCTTGGCCAAGGAACATATTTCGGCCAAGTTATTATAGAGCTCAAGCTTTCCTTAAGAAGTATCTTAGTCGACATATTTGCTGTGTTTTCATCAATATAGATTTTTTGCAACTGCATATGCTGTTCTTCAATCACCGAATACAACCAATGATACCTAACATCAATGTGCTTTGTTTTAGCCTAGTACATGATATTTTTACTCAAATCTCAAACACTCCGAATATTATAAAATACCACATACTCTTTCTGATTCAATCTTAATTCAAGAATAAAATATTTCATCAAAAACATTTTTTTACTTACTTTGGTTACTGTAATATACTCAACCTCTTTAGTTGACAAGACAACATACTTATGCAACTTAGACTATCATGACATAACTCCTTCCGTAAAAGTAAATAAATACTTGAAAGTAGATCTTTCACTATCAAGATCACTATCATGTCAACATTAGTAAACCCTTCTAGAATTGATTGTGAAACTCTATAACTCAAACACATTTTTGAGGTATTCATTAAATATCTAAAAATCTATTTCAATACTTTCCAGTGAACCTTTCCCAATTAAAAAAAAAATTTGCTTACTACACTAACTATATAAGTAATGTTAGGTTATGTGCAAATCATAAGATACATAAAAGAACCAATTATAAAAGAATAAAGAATACTAGACATAGCTAGTTGCTCTTCTTTAATCACCAAATAGGATTTCTTACTCAAATAAAAATGGATAACAAGTGGAGTGCTAACTGATTTAGCATGCTACATGTTGAATCTATTAAACATCTGTTCAATATATTTTTCCTATGATAACTATAGTTTTTCAGCTCTTCTATCTTAGATAATATACATACCAAAATTTTATTTTGCTAGACCTAAATCTTTCATGTCAAAGGACTTAGGCAATTATTCTTTCAACCTGCAAATCAATCAGCATCTTATCCCATAATCAACCTATCATTCACATATGATAAAAGAATAATAAAGTTACTATTAAAAAAATGTTAACATACATACAAGGATCTATTGCCCTTCTTTTATAGTTGTGGCTTACTATAAAAGAATAAAGCTTTTTGTACCACTATCATAAAGTTTGTTTAAAGCCATACAAGCTTTTTTTCAGTTTGTAAACTAAGTGCTCTTTTCTTTTTACTTCAAAATCCTCAGATTGATCCATATAAATGTCCTCTTGCAAGTTACCATTCAAGAATATAGTCTTAATATCAAGTTACTCAAACTCAAGATTCAAACTAGCTGCTAATCTCAATACCACTCGAATGAAACTCATCTTCACAATTAGAGAAAAGATTTCATCAAAACCAATGTCGAGTTTCTAAAAAAAACACCTTTCACCACTAATCAAGTTTTATACTTCACTAACATGTTATCATCTTTTTTCAGTTTAAACACCCATTTATTCTTCAATAGCCTTCTCCCTTTTGAAAGTTTAATAAGATCTTATATACTATTTTTTTATAATGACTCAATCTCTTTTTTATTACTTTTAACTAGCGTTTTCCATCTAGAGTAATTTGTACATCTTAGAAGTTCTTTGGCTCCCCCTCACTAGTAACTAAAATAAAATTTGAACTTGAATATTGAGTAGATGACTTATGCTTTTTGGTAGATCTCCTAAGCTTAGACTTTACACTACCTGATTTTGAAAGTAGGTCCCCCTACTCATCACTCTCTGATGGAGAGGACTACTCACTCTATTCAACATTATTAGATAGAAGAGATTGCTCTCCTACCCAAAATTGATTGCATTTGTCTCATCATTAATTGTAGCTAACTCATTCATATCCCTAAATTCTTTCTCTTATTCATTTCTATTACTTGTGGCTTTTTTCAATGGAACCCTTATCGGTATTGAAACGTCACCTTCAATAGTAACCCGTATAGTCTTTTCATGTTTCTTAAAGTTTGCTATGGTTTATTTTTCATGAAAGATCACATCTCTACTTTTAACTCTTTCTCTTCATTAGATCCCATACCTTGTAGCTAAATTCCTCATCACTATATCCTACAAACACACACTGTGTGACTTTATTATTAAACTTTGACCTATGCTCTTTTGGCACATGCATAAATACTTTACACCCAAAAACTTTCAAGTGAGAATATGAAACATCTTTTTCTATTCATACTCTTTCTAGCATGTCAAAGTCCAAATGAATTGATGGTGATCTATTTAACAAATAATAAGCTATGTTAACTGTTTTACCCTAGAATGGCTTTAGTAATTTTGTCATCCTTAACATATGTCTGACTTGTTTTGCAATAGTGTTGTTCATCCTTTTAGCTACACTATTATGCTGCAGTGTTTCAGGTTTTATCATCTCATGCCTGATCTCATGTTTTAAACATTGTTCTTCAAAGTCTTTGGATGTGCATTTTCCACCATTATCAGTCCGAATACACTTTAAAGGCAACCTTGTCATCTTTTTCACCATGGCATGAAATTTTTTAAAAATGCTGCAATACTTGAGTTTTATTTTTTAATATATACACTTAAGTCTTACGTAAAGTATCATCAATAAAAGTTACAAAATACCTATTATCAACTAA